CATTGTCAAATACATCACATTAACCCTTGCTCCACAAGAAAAAAGAAACAAAACTCAACTTTCAAAAAACTTTCAACTTCCTTCTCCATCCGTTCGACTAATTATAAACCAAACCAAATATTTTTTCCTCTCTCGAAGGTGTTTACAATACTCAAAAAAAAAAACACCATTATTATTCCGAAAATACCCGAAAACGTTCGAGAGATCGCGAAACGTGGCTACTGCCGTTGACCAGGCCCTCGAAATTCGGCGACGGTACGAGATTGCGGTTGGGAAGAGTTAATTAAATGGTTCGGGGAAGTTGATGTCGCCCGGGTCAGTCGATGAACCGTGAACGATCCAACGCGCACAACCACCACCTTTCCCTTAATAATAATCCACACGCACGGCCTCGAAATCGTGCAAACGATTTCGTCCGCTCGAGATCCTGGCCGATAACACGCGCACAAACGAATTTATCCGCGCCTCGTTGACGAGCCGTCGCTCCAACGTCGCTCGTGACGACGACCGCTTCATTTTTCTCTTCGTCTTCGCCATTTTGCACGAGGACGAGGGAATCGTCGAATCGGATGAACAATGATTGTATCGATTTGGCAATGATGACGATGGTATTTTTGAATCGTAAGATCGAAAACGTGGAATGTAATTTGGAAGTAATAAAGGAGCAAGATTTCTGTTGATAAATGGATAGTTTTGAGATTTAATTAGATATCGAGATTGAGGAGGTTGAATATTAAAGAGGAGAATTTGTGAAACTTATTTTTTATATGTGTAATCCTTCGAATTATTAATCCTGCTTTTAGTATAATATATTAAATTTTAATAGGTTTATCGAAATTCGATGCACCTATTTATTTTATTAAAGTTCTTTAAGGGAGAAGAATTTTATATCATTTTATATATCAGAAGAGATCGAAGTCTGTGATACATATAATTTATCATGAAATTTAATATTTTTAATTATCTTTGGAAACAAGGGGATATTTGTATTGTTCGTAAGATAGAAAATTCAGCATTGAATTTCTAATAATAAAAATGAAAGAGTAATAATTTGATGAAAAATTTAATAATAATTAATATTCTGAATTATACTCACAAATAATAGCAATCACAGATTATCGTATTTCTTAACTATTTTTATCCACAAACCACAACTTGGCTTTTTGTTTTTTTTTTTTTTTACATTTTATTTACTATTCCACCAAGATAAAACTTAAAACTTGCTTCTATCTACTTTTTCCAACTTGTATCGGAACCACCGGAGAAACAGCCATGTATAAAAGGAAAAACGAGCGAATTAACGTTCGTGAAACGTAAAGAAAGAACGCAGATCCAGAAAACAAAAGGCGTAATTGCGAGAAGTACTTGGCCACTAACTTTTCGAACAACTGTTTTATCTCTCCTCTTCTTAAGAACACGTTTTAAGAAAACACAGGAAAAGCGTCGCCGGAATAATAGGAAGATCTTTAAAGGAAAATATTAGCCACGCTTTTCTGCCGCGTGAGAAGTGAAGAATGTGGAGAAATTAGCCTCCGTGCTAATTTGAAAATCGCACGCAAGGCAACAATACGTTTTTGTTATTGAAAAAAAAAAATGTTACGATAAAAAATATAGTCTATTAAACGAAACATAAAATCTCTTCGTATTCCTTTTTTTTTTTTTTTACGAGTTGGATAGCTGTGAAAGCGAGAAAAATTAAGGGGGCTTATAAAAGGGGGATTTAATTACTTCATTTCTAATCCATCGTGACTAATAGGTAAGGATTTCTCGTAAATTTTTCGTTATTGGAAAACAGTGTTTATGAAAGGTGTTTTTGTGATAGAAAGTAAAAATATTTAAAAATAGATTCACTATCTGAAAATAGTGAAAAAATTTATACGTGCCGAGAGAATTGATTTGTGATACAACTTTGAGTGGATCTTGAAGATAAAAATGAACATAAAACTTGATTGAGATTTGTTTATAAATTATAAACAATTAAATTTTGCATTAAATGGAACGAGATGATGATAAAACGAAAATATGACGAAGACGGAGCAATAAAAATCGATTTTTTTGTGTTTGTTTTGACTTTTAGAATCGACTATATAAAGGATATATACCACGAATATATCACCATATTGTATATTGTTTCGTTTAATATCTTCATTCAGAACGCTTGTTACAACTTTTATGATCTTTTTTATATCAGCCATTGAAATTTCATTAAAAAGAAACGTATTAAGATTATTGAATCGTATACATATTTTTATCCGATTCAAAAATGATTTCTGTAAAATGCTATTATTAGTTCTAGCGGAACAAATTTTGATAATTAAATCATTTTCTCCTCCGCTCATTCATCATTTTCTTTCAACACGCTCAGATTATTTATACACCGGTATCTTTTCACACTCTAAACCTAGTATGAGAACGTAGGTCAGTAGTCACGCAAGATTTTCTCTTCCATTCATTGCAAATGTACGTGACAAGCCCATGCTTTCTTCCTTTTATTATAGTACACATATTATTCCAAGTACCATATCTTAAAGCTCTTTTATTTCTTTCTTCTCTCATAATTCTCTGAACCTACTGATCCTTCATGCGTACACCATAAACAGAAAAACACCGTACTGCAATTACAAGTGCAAAGAAAACATACTTTCTCCGAGCCACGTGACGACTTCCGATCATCCACGTTCCCATTCGAGAGGCTAAGTACCCATTCGATTTTCAATATACAGACTTTCGAGATTATTTGCATTCATCTATGGCGATTACCACACTTGACCTACCAGAAGAATTGCAACGAGATTTCTTCAACTTCTTTCGAAGATCGTTTAACCGGATAATGGACAGTAGACATTGATGATGGCAAAAAGTCAATAAGATTATTAGAATAAGTCAATAAGATCATTTCATGCTTATGAACTTCCAATTATATTCATGTTCCCATTCAAAAAATTAATTAAAAAATTAATTTAATTCTCATAAAATTATCTCAAAATTATTCGCTTTCTTAAGTTTTTCATACTTATTAATTCCAAATATAAATAATATTTTATCAAATTTTTTCACTTTTTCTTTAAGAAAAAAAAATTCTTCCTTGTAAAATAGAATAATAAACAAAAATGATGTGCAATTTTTCAAAATATATTAAATATCTGATATTGGCTTGGATATTTCCGGAATTAACTATCTCTAAAATCTCAAGATCATCTACAGTTTCGAGTTTCGATCTATCTACAAGAAGATTTTTTTCGATCTTTCAACCAGCCAATCTTCTCTAATCAGAATCATCCGAGTAAACTGTGTAAAACAAACCGATAAAAAGCGATAATAATAGGTGCAATTTTCTCGATCTATCAAGTTAATAATCTCGTGATTTTTCAGGTATCCACACAGGCTGGATTTAGAAACGTAATTTCCAGATGTCGGTCAAAATATCGACGCGAGCATGACACGAATATGACACTTGTGAAACAGATACGATTTTGGAAAATGAACGAGGCTGGTATTTTACGCGTTCGTGGATATTCTGTCACGCGTGTTACCGGATTGCGGGATATTCTTTCCCCCGAGCGAGTGTAATGAAATCGACGCCGGAAATGAAATGGATGACTGTCTCGAAACGTGGATGATCGAGGAACGAAATAATAAATTTGACGGGGGATTTTTGTCCGTCTGGTCCTACTGTTATCATGTAATGGAGGATTGCAGTGCGTTTTTATTTATTGGAAGGAATTTTAAACGATGTACGATTATCTGATTATTATCTATGATTATTATTTGAATAGAGAAATCATAGATAGATTAGATTTCTTCGATCGCATCGAAAATAACAAATTTGCATGAACACGATCTAATAGAACAGAAACTTCTTTGACGATTAATCAACCCTCGTTTCTTCAAACAAACTCCCGCAGAGTTTGGTCCCAAGACAAGAATATGTGAAAAGGAAGCACGTTCGAGAAGCGAGGCATCGCGTAAAAGAGCTAGAGGGGTAACACGATCCGGAGTTATTCCTCCGGTAAGTTATTTCTCGTGTAAGACGGATGCGAGGTATAGATACATGTATGAAACAACAAAAAAGGAAAAATCCACTATGCAATCAGATTATAAGTCCCTCGTTCTTTGACTTTCTATCCTCTGTTCATTCTATCATTGTCTTCCTTCTTCGGGAAGTATGTCTGGGATTTTAAAAAATTTTTTTCTATATTCCAGTAGTAGTTTTGAATATAAAAATGTGGAAGGATCGACGAGAAAAATTATTTTAGTGATTAACAAAATCGTTGTGAAACGATGAATTGAAAATGTTATTGATAATAACATTATTAATGATCATATTGATTAATCCTTTGATGCTCCTATTCGTATAAATGGACAAAACTAAATTGATTTCATTTGTGCAAATTCATGATAAGAGCATAGAATAATTAATTTTAATATTGACATCTTTCAATAAAATAAATTTATACGTTATACTTAATATATTACTTAGTACAATATTTATAGAATGTAAATTTATAACGCAAATTTTTAAAAAGTCGATTTGAAAAAAGATAACTAAACTGAAATGATTAATTTTATGAATAAAAAATATAATTTTAAAAAAAATGTATTCATATATGTAAAAATCATATATGTAATTTCATACATGAATCATTCATGTATGTATGTAAAAAATTGAAATTGAGAATTTGTTGTGATATTTCGATAATTGATTTATATTCCATATTAAAGAATTGTTTATATATTAAGATTTATTATAACGATACTGTAATCTGTTTTATCATATCGAATCGATTCAAATTTTGTATCGAATGCGACAAGTCACACATAACCTTTAATTCGGAGATTAACGGTTAATAATTGAGGCTTATTTGATACATTCTACTTTCCACATTTTCATATTTCGTATAAATTGCGTTCATTAAGATAGTCAGATATCAGGTGTCGCGATTCGAATCATTGATTGAAAAGGAAAACGATAAAGTAAATAAAACAAATAAAATACTCACGTGTTTCGCAAGAACGTCGTGCAGGCATAATCCTATAATAAATATAAGAAGCACCGACGACCTGAAACAAAAACAATATTCACCTTTTACTTTATCATTTAAATAATTCATAGTTAAGAATGAATCGAAAATTTCTTCTTTATTAATCTTTTTTGAAAAGAAATTTTATGCTAAAAAATAATTAATAATACATTAGATATATAACGACAATTATAAATAAAGAGAAGTATGATAATTATTTTTCATTATTATTAAATTTCATGCAGATATAAAATAATTTTCATTTTAATGTATAATAAAGAGCTATTGACCTGGAATAAAGTATAATCCTGAATTACAGGTATGTAAAACTGGTATGTTATACCGAATTGCATGTTTTTCAAGGTTAGTATTAGCTTATGCTTATTCTATTATTATATTTTATATTTATCAAAGTTATTTTATAATACCAGATATTTTACATTTTTTATCATTTTCATATGAAAAAATAATAATGAATTAAATAGAAATAAATACACGTTCAACGTATTTTCTTGAATCAAAATCTAACCTAACCTATACGTATAAAAATAATTAATAATGCAACAACACACAGAAAATATAAATTTCTATCAACATTTTAAATTATACATTACAACATTTTTTTCTATTTACCTAGTACTTTATAACTTCCATTTTCATTAAACAGAATAAGAAGAGACGATAGTTAATATATCAGCGTTAAAACAATCACTTGTCGCGATCAATTCACATCTGTTCTTCCCTCAATCCGCTTATTCATCTATACGAATCAATCAACCGACAAGTAATACCACCAATTAAATCAGCCAAGAAACCGCAAGTTAATTATAAGCTGAGCGGTCGTTTTCCACGATAAATCAAACGCAACGGAACTAAAGTACGCGAGCCGGCGCGAGGAAACTGGTCGCCGCCATTGACCCAGACTTTGATTCTTGCGTGAACGCCGGAACGAGTTTCACCGCGAACTTGTCCCGCAAGTCGTTACGTCACTCTTGGTTAGACAGTTACATGCGCCATTACGCGAACGCGTCTTGATCGTCATTGATATTGTTGATATGATTACGACTTCGAGATAAAAGAAATGATTTAATTTGGAGATTCTTGAGTTGAATTTGTTACGAAATTTTGATACAAAACAAGTGCATAGGTCTATTAATGCATTAAATGTGACATAGAAAAAAAGGTTATGATAATTTTTTGTTTATGGTTATATTTTTGTTTCTAATTCTATTATTTTTACAGTGTTAAATATGTTTTTTTCATAATTTCAAAAAGGAAAATAAGATTTATTGAAATACTAAAAATAGATATTCGTTCTGCTGATTTTTTTTTTAAAAACGGGACACACGCTAATTTGACTAAAAATATATATATTTGTAGAGTATAATTTTTTGTATAAACCGTTTTTATAGAAATATGTTTTCAAATTTATGTTTAATTAGATATTATAGTAATGTAGAATTAGAAAATAAACTAGGCCAAGTATCTAAGAGTTAAATATTCTAAGATTTTGAAGATCTATTATACAAATTTCTTTATTAAATGCAGAGGAATAAGTGTGTTTTATATTCAACCAATAATAAATGATCAGTATGCAAATCTTAATTTAGTTTTAATTCATTCAAGATTTTCCTATAAATCCTTCGAGATTTAAAATATGAATTGGATTTTAAGTATCTTAACCATTTTGAATATCCAAAAAGAGACTAAAGAGAAAAGAGATTAGAATAAAAACAATACAAAAAAAATCGCGTATTTTATTTTCCAAAACTCAGTGCAAAGTGCATAACAATTATTTCTACACCTAAAATTTAAATAATTAAACAGACAAGATATCATTTTCGAGAACAATGACTGAAATCTTTTCCACGTGCTACGAAACCGGAACGAGCCACTGGGTAATCGAGCCGATACTTCTCCCCCATCCGAGAATTTATAGAGAGAACAGGCGAACCATCACGCGCTCGTTGTTCCCGGCTGTCGTGGACCACGCGATAAATTATTTCACAGCAGCCGCTCTCTCTCCCGCTATTTACATGCGAGCACGCGCCAAGGCTGCCGATAAATCTACCAACTGTCTGAAATTGTATGAATTAGTCGCGATGCTCGCTACTTTCTCGCCTGATTTATCGGACGGTATCGTCCTGCGAATCGGATAGCGGATCTCGTGATACGTGAGCTCTTTGGTTACCGTGATTTCACCGTGTTACGGCGTTAAAAACGTCCCCGTTTTTAGAAGATTTGTTGTACGAAGCAATTGGAATCTATCTCGAGTGGATTATGGATTAATTCTGTTGTACATGATGGTTTGATGATATATAATATTGATATATTAGCTTGAGAAAATTTGTAAAACAAATATAAAAATGATAACTATTTCTGATCATTATATTTAAATAGTTCCTGAAATGGAATCCTCTAAGAAAAATTTAAATAAAAACTGATAAGGTTTATTAAAAAATTGAATCTATGCACGAAATATTCAATTGAATTAAAAATCCTAACAAATAATTTACTATGACTTTTCAATCAACCATCATTTCCCCAGTTACAATTACAATTATTCAACAATTACTATGCTATCACATTATTATCTCGTTTTCCAAGAAAAATCAACTTATTATAGAAAATGAAACTACAAGCCTATAATCTAAAAACCATAGATTATCCATTCATCCCAATCTCGTTTGAAGAAGACTGTTAGAGCGCACAACATTGAGTCGTGATTATCGATACAAAAAGAAACGAATAACGAATGAAAAAGAAAAAAAAAGAAGAAGAAAAACGATGATATCTTCAATCAGTGCAACGACTGTTGTGTCGAAATGTGAATGAACGTGTTTTTCTGCTGCATCGACGCGCGTCGTTGCGTAAGTTCTTTGAGTGGGCGTCATTCACTGGTTTGGAACGTTGCCCGGGAACTGGCGCGAATCATTCGAATCGAATCGTGGCGGACAGAGAGAAAAGGGAAGAAAGAGGGGGAGAGAGAGAGAGTTATAGAGGACGTATTCTGCTATCGGTCGGAGGACATAATATTCTGGTGAAAAATGGCTGGCCGGTGCTATTGGCCGAGAACAATGCGAGATGTCGTGCCGTTTTAATGGCCGGCGAACAACAATCTTGCCCCGGCCGGATATAAATTGCTAAAAAGCTCGTCGCCCGTAAATTCCGCCACGCAGCTTCCTTCGCGAATTATTTCCGGCATTCCCTCTCCCGGCTGGTTGAAAGGGGATTTATCGTGCGGTGAATTATGCCAGAAGGGTGGAAAAAAGAATGTTTGTTTCGGTATATTTTTTATTTCCTTTTCATCTTGAAGGATGAAATTTGAATTTTTATGAAAGATATCTTTACTGCTTATTAATGTTTTTAATGCTTTTTTAGATATTTCGCGGGAATTAAAGTATTTCCACCCTTCTGGCTACCTTTTGTGAAAATTCATTTCAACGGAATGAATCGAGGCAACATATTTATAGTCAGCTTATAATACGATATTTAAATGATAATTACAAAGTCTGTTTCTCGATAGAATTAAAGGATAACCTATCGTTATTTACTTACAATTAGGGAACAACCTAATGCATCCATTTACCTCGCTTACAGATGAAAGTTTTATCCTCTGAATATTCTCCTATATAAGTTTCACGAATATCCACTCGATTTCCATCATAATTTTACGTCTACGTCTACGTCAATAAATTTCGGCGAACTAGCGGATATCTCCTTCAACCCACAATTACTTTGCAACCGGTCGCAGATGCGAGCGAGGTGCACTTGCGCCGAGACGATTGCATAAAACATGACAGTAATCCACAGGGGGATCTACGAGGGCGTTAATTGGAACGCAGTTTTCAAAGGTCTAATTGCGACCGCGAAATCCTCATGATGTTTCTGTTCGGGCGTGAAACACCATGGCGCGTAACCGGTTTCACTTGAAACACAACGACTGGTTTATATCGTATCCTCGGCCTTGACGTCTGGATGCTTCGTGGGTGCAGTAATTGGTCCCAGGTGAATAATTTTAATTGGGTGGCGAACCTGGAATTGATGTTAAGTGGAATTAAATGGCTCCACCGGGAGGCGTAGCGATTCTAACGCCGACCGATTATGAAATTGCGAATCGCGATGCAATTTCGCACTGTGACTGCTAAGATGTAAATTCAATTATTTTTTTCACTGCTTGAAATTTATATTTTGCGTTTCTTGCGTTTTTTTATTATATTATATATTATATAATATATATAATATAAATTCAAACATCTATATAAGATGGATAATACAAGATAATACAAGATAATACAATAAAAAAAGATATCAAAAATTCACGATTTGAAATCGTTTTGAAGATATGTTTTAGAATCATTAAAGATCAATAACAATTAATAAGTAAAAAGGTAATTAAAAAAAATTTTCTATAATCTTCAAAATAATTATAAGATATAATTGTTAAACATCGCATTAAATTCGATTTTAGAATATTCCATTATACCTAATTTTCAAGAATCGACAGTTCACGCTCAATGATCCTTTAGTTCAGCATTTTTTACGATTCCAAGAAAGGGCTAAAGCTTATAAAGCAGGCAGCAGTTAGTAACTGCGAAATTTATGGTTCGAATCGAACGAGATTCGAAACGGCATGAATATGTAAAAGCAATGCGATCAACCGAACTTCTGCATCCAGAACGCTTCTAACAAGGACCTCCTACAAATAGAATTCGTTACAGACAAGACAAGTTCTTCAACTTACATCACTTCTATTCTGTTGTTGAGGTCAGAACAATTACAACAATTCTACGAGTTTATGCAAATGTTGCCTTCTAAATTATAATAAGATCTTATATCCAATTTTCGAAGATCCATTCGATGGATATTCTATTAAATTAATAATTATTTGTTATAGGAAATAACTCTAATCTTTTACTGAAAACTCATATAATTTGGAATTTAAAAATAAAGTAATTTATTCTCGTAAAAAATTGAATTACTTTAAAATTAAATAATTGATATAAAAAAATTTGAAATTAAATATATTTTATCCATAGAAGAATTTTAAATCGAAAATATTTCATCGTTCTAATTTCAAAAAGAAAAGATTCATCTTCTCAATTTGTTCATTCTAGAATTATATAATGACTGATATAATTATAAATCAAAAACGAAAACCTAATCTATTCTATCATTTTCACGCCTCTAACCTATAAAAATACACGTCATATTCAATCCTGACCACACATAGTATTAATAATCGATAAATCAGTTAAAAAGCGATGCAACGAAGCTACTTACGTATGGATCTATGACCGCGATCAGATATTGCGTTGCATTTTTACAACTTTCAGTATTCTGCATATCGATGCTACTAATGAGCTTGTTGTCCACAACCTGGATTCACCGCGATTTCATCGCGACCGCTTCTTGAATCCTTTTCTCCCGTCGTTTATCGTGATTCTATTCTGTCCAGCGCACAAGCAATTTGTGGTTTAGGTATCCAACTTTCGCGTAGAAACGTGCCACTGTTTGTGTAGATGTTGACGAGACTCGGAATTAGATAACGAGGAAACGTAATTTCGGTTCGTTAGACTGCTAATTTCACAATACGAATCGTTCTGTGACTTGGAAATCCGAATTTCAGAAAAATTTCTATCGAAATTGTCAATTCTCGCATCAGATTTAGAAAAGACGCCATTTTCTATGTTAGAATGAACGTATCTGACTTCAGGTTGAATCGATAATCGAAGATACAAATGAAAAGAATTGATCGATTATTTCGAGTTACGAGATATTGCGATCTCGTCCGATCCTATCCGAATTTTTCCGAATCATCCCGAGTTCGTAATCCGTAAAGTTCTTGAGAGTTACATTTTAACATATTTTTCTCGGGATATAATTGTACAAGAATAAAAGATACTTTGAAAAATGAAAGTGAAATTGTGAGTGCATATAATGTATATCAATAAATAAGATGAACAAGTGTTTGGTAAATCATTTAATAAAGCGGTAAATGAAGTGGTAATCGAGCTACGTGTTGAGCCAAGAAACTGTGAATTCATTTTAAAAGTGTAATTCTACACGAAGCATCGGATTAAACGATCAGCAACGCTGCTAATTCGTTAATCATAAATATTCAAGAGTCAATTAACACGGATACGAGGGGTCGTGCACTCTCGCCGGATCAATTAATTATCGATTTCCATTACGCTTGCGTAATGACCTATTAACAACGCACGCTCGAGATCCTTCGGGCCGAAACTTCGATTTTAATGTCATGATTCGTGAACCTACGACTTATCCCGAAATTATGCTTTATCGATTTTGTGTTTAATATCAGAGATTAATATCAGAGTTCTGAAAATTGATTTATGGATCGATATCCTTTTGGAGAAAAAGAGAATTAAAACCATACTCATTCAATTACAATTCACAACAATTCACTCACGTTGCAAACATAACCTAAACATAGGATAATCATCTTTCACTGAACTACACCTAACAAGCAAACAATTCCGACGTTCCACATATAAATGTAAGTCTTTTTTTATCTTTTTTATTCAAATTTGATTTAAATTATATCATAATCTCATAAAATTATTTTATAATCCATATGTGGCCCGTGTATCGTATATTCCAAGTTTGATTAATTAATAACAAAAACGTGAATATTGTCGACTATTCAATGAGTTCGAATTGACAGCGATCAAGCGGAATCTCGAGTGCATCCTGGTTGATGCACTACCTTTCCAATGTAACCGTGTCTCGTACAATGGATAGGTGCGTCCTGTCAACGGCTTCGGTCAATTACGATCGTCTGAAAAACAAATGGCCCGGTTTTGATAATAATTAACGACACGGTGATCGGTTTCTCAAAACGTCGACCCGATCGTTTTATACGGACAATTCGCGATGAAATATTTCGCGACGATTATCGAGTCGAAGCATAGTTTCGTAACGGTACGGAATGAAATATTTCACGATGATCGTTCATCTGCGGCCACATACAATTTTCTCTTATTAAATTTTTAATTTTTATAGAAAGTCAAAATGATAACGTATGCGACGAATTATATTAATACATTAATAAAAATGAATCTATATTTGTTATATACTGTATTGATTTTAATTTCATAATTTTGCTTCTCAATTTTGGTAGATATGGATTATTAAATGATACTTTATGTTGTTGTTAATCAATCGATTTTAAGAGGGTTGATAATCGATGATTATTGATAATTTTTTTTGACAATTTTGATTATAGAACGTGAGTTATTTTTGTTATTATAATATATGAAGATTTTTAAAACGAGTCGACACTTGTTACGCGTCCTCGTATCATATCGCCATTGAATATCAGCGTGGACGGGAAATGTTGCATCGTATTATGTCGTTGTCTATCAAATTATGATTCAAAGATACGTAACAGAATTGATTTGTCGGTTTTTCATCGTTACATCAAAGAAATGATACATTATACAACGAGACGTATCCAGTTGACGATTTTTATAAAATTTATATGAGAGGTAATTTAAAAAAAAATAAATAAACAATTGACCTGCTTTTTTATAAATCAATGCAATGTATCATATTACTGAGAAATGTTACACGAGGATACGTAACAAGTAAAGTTATTTCATCAGAATTGTTTCGAAATCGTAATTTCTTCTCTTCATATAAAATGAATATTTCGGCGATTATTTGATGAAGTTTTGTTCTTCGATCGATATATGATATAATAATGATTAAGAATCGTGTTTTCATTGAGTCGATTCACGATTTTCGCAATTCGGAATGGAACGAGATTCGAAGGTATATGATTTTCGAGGTTCGTTGAACACGTGCACGCACGTAATTCGAGCGTCTGACTGAGACGTGTAATTTTCACGATTGCAACGAGGAAACTGATCCCTTTTTACTGCACACACTTGCTCCTCCCTGTGCTTGATCAAGTGTAATTACTGTGAATAATGCAGCGGGGTGTTAACAGTACGAAACCAGAGTTATGAATCTCGTTCGATGTTGTGTAATTTGCCGGCAATTTGCTGAGAATCTTCATATACACACTACCCGTATGTATGTAACGATATATATATACATTTATTACAAATCCTTTTTTCCATTATTAGATATAAATATTAAGTATAAACTAATTTGCTTTTTTTGAAAGAAATTTCAAAGTTTATTTATTCAAGTTGCATATCACAGTAATACATATTTGCATAAATCACGCGATAAACTTCGATCGTCGTCATATTTTTATTTCCTCGATTCGATGAATTTATTTCTTCTTCTCATTGATATATCAGGTGTACGATAAATCAAATAATAAATATGAGAGGCAAGTTGGAAAAATATAACAAATACAGTAATGTTTTCTCAACAAAGATTAAAAATTGCTTTGTCATCCGTAGCAACGTTTTTCTTTACCACGAATATAAACAGAACACAGCGCCTGTGTATTTTGTCAGCCACTGTTCTGAACGTAACCAATTTTCTTATCACTCTATTAACAACAAATAAATTACTACATAAAATTATACAGATGGAAGTTGTTTAAAGTTTTCACAAAACAGAAAATATATATATATCTATTATAAATATCAAATTAATCTTTCTCAAGAATAAAATATACAAAAATCATTATATTTTCCCGTAAATTATGCGAACACGAAAATATATATAATCATTGATTCGTAACGCAATCCTTTTCACACGTTATATTTTTCATTTCACACTCCTCCCCTTCGAACAATATTTCACGGGGTATTTAACGGATTAATCGCGATCGAAACGAAACCACCACAAGCCCTAGCAATTACTATCGATTATTTTCCTCGTAATTTACGATTTCCACTCCCTCCCGCCGATCTTTCGAGACAAATTACCCTTAAACATTTTTATGAATACGTATTCGGCCGGCTGGGCTCGTCGTTTAATCCGTCACGGTTAATTTAAGTGGTGCTAGCCTTTTTTTTTTTTTTAGTAGAGAGAGCTAACACCTTATAACACTGCGTCGTCTACCATTTTCACTTTCTTTTTTTTTCCCTTTCATTTTTAAACGCACAAAATTCACCCGAGAAAATGGATCGAGACACGGTGTTAACTTCGAACTCTTTAACCGGATAGACGGGGTCCCCAGGAACCTGGCAAGTTTAATATTTTATCGAGCACTTTCCGCTTCGCCATATTCTTGGACATTAAAAGCGCATTTTTCCCTGTAAACGTTGATGAAATGCGATAAGCATTACTTGATCTCTTCCATATCGGTGTGGAAAGTGGTTGCAATACAATAGGAACGAAAAAAATATAACATCGAACCTAATTAGTCTCGTATCCTTTGTTCCTATCGCTTGTATCGATTCTATTGTATTAACATTGAGGTAGAAATTTTTGTTGCTTTATTTCTTATACAATAAAAATTGATAAAACTAGTACCAATTCGATTTCATCATAATAGAATTTTTCGTTGGTTTATTTTTTTTTTTTTCTTTCTGGAAAAAATATAAATTACTTCAATTTATGTCTCAGAAGTAATTTCACGCTTCGATCCGACACTTTCATTAGAACAATCAGTAAACGATATTTCCATCTTCACCTTCGATACTTTTACAAATCAGATCCTTTCAGATCCTCTAGGGATAAAAGTTTTACGGATCCATATTTCGACGATAAAACTCCAACTCGAAGGTACGTCATAAACGTGTTATCAAATTGATTTCACGGAACGTTCGATCGTTCGAAAGTACGTGAACTCGAAAATTTGACCCACGATTTCTCGACTCTTATCTTTCACCGCGCGCATAATCGCTTCATTATACGGCCCAACTCCTACCACTCGCTCGTGGGGGCCCGCCACCAAGAACCATACCCTATTCCTGCACGAAAAAGAACGCGAACCTCGACATTAGCCGGTTATCCGAGCGAACAATCTAGCCGCTGGCCGATCCTTGGCAACGTGCCAACGCGATGCTCGAAATTACGATGCCTCATAAAATCGCGGTTAGAACTCCCTCGTGCACGCGAATTCCGAATATCTTGTTCGCGTTCTGCCATACGACCGCCAATAATTCGTACTTTTGGCACCTTTTCCACTCCCCCACGTGTGCGAATTTGAGTTACGGTTTTACCGATTTTTCAGTAAATATCTTTGAACATATTTCCGAAATTATCAACTCGAGTTTCAAAAAAAAAGTTCAACAAAGTAAAAATCAATACTCCGTTCACGTTAGATCCATAACCTTCATATATAGAATGCATAACAATCGGTCGATTATTCAAAAACACACGCGAACTGGAAACAATGGCGGAGAAGAAAATGGACGAGGCTTTGTCAAATATCATGCGATCCATATATCCTATTACGAAAATGAGCATCTTATTATACACTGCCCAGCTCGAACCCGTTCCAATTCCGCAATTACTATTAATCTCGAGCATCGGTAACCGGCAACTCCTTTCGAGAACAATGGAGTATGGCCCATACTGGATGCGACTTAATCCCGTTCTCGTGATACAATCGCATTAGGATTCGCGACGATATCCCACGCAACAACGTCCCGGGTCAAGGAGGAAGAAACGGAGGGAATAGGTTCAGAATGCGCTCTCGAATCCTCGAGGGCCGAGGCTAATAAACGAGCTTCGTTACGGCGAGTTGGCTTAATTGAAAGCTGAAATACGGTGGATCGATCGTTCTTCTTTTTCTAGACTTACCCTCTTCACACTTTGTACGCATACTTAATCCTTCTTGCCCTGATCCTTGTTTGGAGAATGATTTTTGCCATCTTAGAGATATTTTTATGATTAATTTCAATCCCCAACGATCGAAAATCCTTCCACTTTACGAGTTCCAATTCACCTCACGGTTTCTTTGCCCCGTATGGCAAAAAGAAAGGAGAAAAGAGAAGGAGGCAACACGAGACACGAACAAGATCCACCTGAGAAAGGAAAGGGGCACAGGTAACGCAGCGTCGCTAATTGGCCCGTGTCGCCAACCCGACAAGCCTCACTTCCGTCCAATTGCCAATAAATCCTTGGCTTTATTCTCCTCTCTCTCCTCCTCCTCCTCCTCCCTCCCCCCCCCCCCTCCTCTCCCTCTTGTCACCGACGCGAAACGTCGTTGAAATCTCGCGAGGAAATCACCGATCAACTCTCGCATGTCGGAAACGCGGAATGACAGAATTCTCCTCAGTGGTCGTCATTAAGGAATTGGATACGCATTCTTCGGCTGATGATTAATTGCGGATGTCCCCTCTCCCTAACCCCACCATTCCGATTTTCCCATAAACTCGCACTCCATTCTTCCTTTCCTTTTCCCCCCCGATTTTGTTTCCTTTCTCCCTTCTTCCACTCTCACCGCTTCCGCCAATCGACAATTATTCGCCGTGACGCTCCAACCGGAGCCATTAACGGAGAGAATACATTCAGTTGTGGCAAGGCTGGAGGAGGCGGTTATTACGAGGCACCGTTTCTTGGTCAAAGATTCTTTCCAAGAGGAAGAGAGTATCCAGGGCCCTGAGATTGCACTCCCGATGAATCGAGTTTTGTCCAGCGAGCCACGTCTACTCTTTTCTAACCCCCTCGCGCTTTTTGCCCTTTTCATCTTCGATAAATAAATAGAGGAATAGATCTCGTCTTCGACGAGCTTAATCTTTCGATACTACGGCTATAATCATAAGATGTTGTACGATATGACGAGTTATCGCGATCTTTCTGTAGAAATATAATATCGATATTTTCTTTTTAGGCGTAAATGCGACCATTGTCTTTCTAGTGCATATTTTTGGTGCGGCGGGAGAAGTTAAATTTCAATCCATTTGGAATTAATTGTAATCTAATCAGGTCACACACGTTATAAATAGTAGAAACTAGGAAAGAAATTCAAATTGGAAGAATCGTACGACACGGATAAAACTTGCAAACATTCTTTCAGGGATCTTGATAAATCTTAAGTTGGCAATGGAAAGTTAATAAGTCGCCCGTATCGAAACAGTTAAATTTTAATCCATTTGGAATTAATCTAATCCCGTTAGGTCTCTTTTGGGGATATTAAGTGTATCAGGTGTTTGGAGGAGATTAACGATTAGAAATGGTAGAAACAAGGAAAGAAATTCAAATTGGAAGAATCGTACGACACGGATAAAACTTGTAAATATTCTTTCAGGGATCTTGACAAATCTTGAGCTCGACGCAATGGAAAGTTATCGCATAAAACGATTTGGCAATTTATCAAATCTAGTAGAGAAGTGTTCGCGACTAATCTTAAACCGTGACTAATGAATTTTTGATCACGATCGAGATTAACTACAATTCTCTCGTCGAAATTTGGAAAGAAGATCGGTGGTTGGAATCAACCCGTTGGAAGAAAACGCGAACAGATGTCGTATCGAGGCCGGGCGCAATATTTTCGCCGTGACAAAAGGGAAGAATGGCGTGGAGCCAGTGGCTGTGCATTGTTGTCTGCTGGCCGAGACAAAGAACCGATTTCAAGGGTCTCTTTGCCGATGGGAGGATGCGAACGATCCATCCTCTCTCCTCCCTCTTTGTTTCTCCAGGAGTTGCTGTTTTATGCGCTCCTGTCGTCGCAATCCTACTCCGACTGATGAAACTTTCCATTTCCATTCGTCCATTCCTTGTTGCTCGATACAGAAGCTCGTCCTAATCACCATCTTTCCCAAATCACGGTGTCGTTTTGGATCTGGCCAGCCTTTATAACAAGGCTGAATAACCATCCTGGGGAATAATCGCGATTGTTGGACGAGCTGTTTCCGACGACAACACGAATACATTCCAGAATGTCCATCAGAAAGTTTCCGACAACGAAGATTACACGCGTGTATACAATGGACGAGATTAGAATAACATTCGTGATCGTGATTTTCCAATTAAACTTGCTTCGACTCGTAGAAAATATTCGTTCCATCTTATTACTACGAGAGATTATTCACCTTTTCGACTAGCAACGCGATGAGATATTAACTTTCCGAAGAAAAATAAGGATCCGATGAAACGTTTTGGTCGGAAGAAGAAAAAAATTGAACGAAATGTTGGAATATTTTTTTAAACAGTAGAAACGTGGTAGTGTTAACTAGAGTTTAACACCAAACTGTCTGTGATTTATTACAGTATTTTTTATTTAATTTAACTTGTTTAATTTAACTGCGAACACGATCGTATGTCATCGTGTATTGCACGAAATGACGCATTGCCAAGTCTAGCTTTTGAAAAGTAACCAAGGCAGACTCGAGCTTCCTGAATCCTGCAACTTGTAAGGTTTCAGCATCGTTGGAAACCTGTTAGTGGATTTCGACTTTCTGCCTAGGTAAAGAAGCACGAAAAGGTGTTCTTTATTAACCTCGGCAAAACCTTCCAGATATACTTGCTTTAAAAATAAATTCAACCAACCCTTTATAATTTCCAAGAAACGAAATTAACGACATCGAAGTTAAATCTATTCCCAAAAACGGAGGGATAATTCTTTATATTTTGGGGAATATACGTAAACGTGAAACATCGCGACAATCTTCCTCTTCCTCTCTTCAAAAAAATAAGATGGCGCCGATTTATTCCAAGACAAATTTCATCTTAAGACAAAAAAATGATAATTCCGTGTTTTAGAATGGAATCGATCGAGATGATTTCGACAATCGATGATGAGTTTAAAGAGTTACGAGCTCGATTATACGGGTTTTGTAATGCAGCGAAGGTGGACAGAGGCGGAATTGCGGCTAACATTACTCACGAGGTTCGAAAGCACGTCCAGTTTCACGCTCGGATGCCGTAAAAACAAGTGTTCCGACCGCAGCCACGTGAAAGAGAAGGGAAAACAAAGGGATGCATTCGCGAATTCTAGCCTTGGTGTCTGGCGGTGAATGCCTTTGGAAAAGATATCGACGAGCCAGTTTTATTCTCTTCGAGCGGAGGGCGTTGTTCCTGATTGAATTATGAAACGACCTCGTAAATTCTCGAAATGGCCGATGCCGCGTATATATTTTGGAATATTTAACAATTTTTTTTCTAAAAGAAAATTTTGACTTTTCCCAAACGAGTCTTAAGTTAATTTAATTAATCATTGCTGAATGCAAAAGGATTTTTCGCGCGAGGATGATTAAGTTGAACGACGAATGAATCAATGGTTATTCCGTTCGAATGAATTTTACAATTTTGATAATTGTAATAAAGGATTTAGCGTAGATGTTATTAATTTATTCGCGAATCGAACGAAACTGAATCCTTTATTCGAAGAAAAAGCTTTGGAAAATTGAAAATTTGAAAGTTTAATGAAAACTGAAGAGCCGTGTGTATTTCTGTATTCCATTTTCCTTGCAAGGCGGAATCGATTCGAAAAAAAAGTCGGATCGTCGAAGCTTCTTCTTACGTATTTATGCAAATACGGGTTTATTTGTGGAAAATTGTGCTGGTCGATATCCTTGTAGAGTTACCCCAGTAGAAACTCAATTTCCAGCTGTGTTTCCGCCTAAACGTATCCCGAAATATTCTTTCTTTGATGTGGCGCCCTTTGAACCAGACGACCAGCTTTTAAACAGAAACTTCGTTAATTTCATTCATAAATCGCAACAAATCCCGGCATTGCATTAACTGCACAACCGCGATTCCATTTTCTCCTTCGTTCAACTCGTTGGCGTTCTCGGAACAATAAACGATGAGTGCTTTATGGCTCGTGGTTAATGGCCAATTTTTCTTTCTCTTTTTGCTCCAAACTCACGAGGTCGACGAAACCGAAACTTCTCTCGGAGAGAATCGAAATAATCCGAACGGACATCCTGTGATTAATTATAGAGAAAAATGCAAATTTTCGAGTTAGAAGAATTCCCCTTCGATGTAACGAAATCATTTTCAAGAAATTCCAGAAATTAAAAACGTACACGAAGAATCGGAAAGAGATAATAATAATAATTCGAAGAAGAAAGTTTTCGACCGATATTTCTTTACTTGGCTCGAAATTCGAACCAACCAACGAACATAAAATTTAACAAAAAAAAAAAAAAAAGAAGGAACTGTAACAACACGACCAATTAAAAGATTAAAAATTCATTTAAAAAACAAGAAGTGGAAGAAGAACGAATCGCTCGTTCGTGACAATGAAACGGATTAAACATTCGTAAAACGGAAAAATAGAGAGAAAGAAAATGGAGAGAGAAAAAATTACAAAGAAGGAAACTACGAAAGTATTACTTTCATTCGCGTTTCTTTGCCCAACTCTCAATTTTCAACCCGTTTGAATACATCGAGAGACGAAACCAAGAAAGGAAGAAAAGAAAAGCGAGGAGAGGGGATGAATCAAAAATTAAATCTCGGTACAATTAAAAAATTACAAATTCAAAAGAAGCGAGAGAGAAAGAGAGAGAGAGAGAGAGAGAGAAGAAAAAGAACCGACCAAACGACGAA